TGTTGTGGCGGGCATCTGTAGTCCCAGCTACACAGGAGGCTGAGGCAAGAGAATCGCCTAAGCCCAAGAGCTAGAGGTTGCTGTGAGCTGTGACATCACAGCACTCTACCAAGGGCAACAAAGTGAGACTCTGTCTCTATTAAAAACAAACAAAAAGAAAAAAGAAAAAAAAAGAAAAGGCAGCCAGTCTAGAAATCCATTAACTCTTAAAATGTTAAGTGGATTTAATAAAATCAATTGTTTATGTTTATATGGTGTTTGGTAAAGAGGGTTCCTTGTATTGGGTTACTTTAATATTTGGTATGCCTTTGACTGTAAAGTATAACAATTATAATAAAAGTAAATAATAATAAAATTTAATTCCAGGTGCAGTAGCTCATGCCTATAATCCCAGCACTTTGGGAGGCCAAGGTAGGGGATCACGATCACTTGAGGACAGGAATTTGAGACCAGTTGAGTGAGACCCCATCTCTACTGCTTGGGCTGGATTCAAACCTGCCAGCTCAGGTGTCTGTGGCTGGCGGCTTAGCCGCTTGAGCCACAGGCACTGAGCCCAGCCTTCAGGCTTTGAAACCTGTGGAACAAACAGGATCAAAAGGAATGACAATCAACATTTTTTAATAAAAGCAGGCATACATGGGCAGTGCCTATGCCACAAAAGGGTAGGGCACTGGCCTCATATGCTAGAGGTGGCAGGTTCAAACCCAGCCCCAGCCAAAAAAAAAAAACCCACACAAAAAAAGCAGGCATACAGAACGAATATGCTGAGTCAGCACCTTCATTTCTCAATACACTGTGACTGAACCAGTACACAAGTTCATATCCCTGAAATGATCATCCCAGCAGCAACATCCCCAGGGTTATTAGTCATATTGCTTGAGACACTAACCCACAAGATGAGGGTTAGGTCGAAAAATTGACTATAGGTAGAATTGAAGAGATATAATTCTAGAATAATTCACCCTCATGTGAATTATTTTCTAATTTTTCCAAATCCAGCACAATTGAGCACAGAGTAAGAGCCTGTTAGAAGATAGGGTCTCAAATTTAGACTTTGAAAGCTATTTTATTTTATTTTATTTTTTTTGAGACAGAGCCTCAAGTTGTCCCCCTGGGTAGAGTGACATAGCATTACAGCTCACAGCAACCTCCAACTCCTGGGCTCAAGCGAGTCTTCTGCCTCTGCCTTCCAAGTAGCCTGGACCACAGGCACCCGCCACAATGCTTGGCCATTTGTTGGTTGCAGCCATCATTGTTGTTTGGCAGGCCCAGGCTGGATTTGAACCCGCCACCTTAGGTGTATGTGGCTGGCGCCTTAGCCACTTGAGCCATAGGCACCGAACCTTGCAAGCTATTTTAAAATGATATTTATTAAATATAAGCATGTAAATATGCCAAAATTTTTATAAACCAGTCTGGTGAAGTCCCCGTCTTTACAAAAAAATTAAAAAGAAATTAGCAAGGCATTGTGGCGCCTGCACCAGCTATTCGGGAGACTGAAGCAGGCGGATCACCTCAACCCAGGAGTTTGAGGTTAAACTGTGAGCTATGATGACCACCACTGCACTCTAGCCTGGGTGACAGAGCAAGAACCTGTCTTAAAATTAAACAAATAAAAATAAATACATAAAATTTAAAAAATAAAATAATAAACCTATGTAAAAATATGAAACTGATAAAACTAAGGAAATAGTAGAAAGACTATGAAGAAGGAGGACGGGATAAACAGATGGAGTACAGGGATTTTTTAAGACAGTGAAACTATTCTGTATGATACTATAATGGTTGATACATGTCATTGTATATTTGTTAAATCTCATAGAATATACAACATGAAGCATGAACCCTAATGCAAACTAAGCACTTTAGTTAATAATAATGTATCAAAGTTAGCTCATCAGTTTTAACAAATATACCATATTAATGGGTTATGTTAACAGGAAAACAGAAGAGAGGCATGAAAGGGTTTAAATATATGGGAACTTTCTGTACTTCCCATTCATTTTTCTATAAATTTAAAACTGCTCTAGAGCGGTGCCTGTGACTCAGTGGGTAGGGTGCCAGCCCCATATAGCAAGGATGGCAGGTTCAAACCCAGCCCCAAATTGCAACAAAAAAAATAGCTGGGCATTGGGCAGTGCCTGTGGGTCAAAGGAGTAGGGCATTGGCCCCATATGCTGAGGTGGCGGGTTCAAACCCTGGGTAGAGTGCTGTGGTATCACAGCTTACAACAACCTCAAATTCTTGGACCCAAGCAGTGCTCTTGCCTCAGCTTCCCAAGTAGCTGGGATTACAGGCGCTCACCACAAGGCCTGGCTAATTTTTCTGTTTTTTGTAGAGTCAGGGTCTTGCTCATGCTTAGGCTGGTCTTGAACTCCTATGCTCAAGTGATCTACCTGCCTCAGTTTCCCAGAGTAGTAGGATTATAGGCATGAATCATCATGCTGGGCCCAAAGAAGTCATTTTAAATGTTAATAGAAGGTACTTACTAATAGAATTGTGATTATTAAATAAGTCATGACTCTGCCCTATGATAAACACTCAAATGTCAGCTATTATCAATATTAATATTATTAAGGGCCCAGCAGGGTGGTTCACACCTGTACTCCCAGCACTCTGGGAGGCTGAGGTGGGTAGATTGCTTGAGTTCTCAGGATTTGAGACCAGCCTGAGTAAGAGAGAGACACTATCTCTAAAAAATAGTTGGGCATAGGGTGGTGCCTGTGACTCAAAGGAGTAGGGCGCTGGCCCCATATGCTGGAGGTGGCGGGTTCAAACCCAGCCCTGGCCAAAAACTGCAAAAAAAGAAAATAGTTGGGCATTGTTGCAGGCACCTGTAGTCCCAGCTACCAGGGAGGCTGAGGCAAGAGGATCACTAGAGCCCAAAGACTTTGAGGTTGCTATGATGCCACAGCACTCAACCCCAGGGCAACTGAGTGAAACTCTGTCTCCAAAATTAAAAAAAAAAAAATACACACACACACATATATATTAATATTAGCACTAATAATGGTATTGTTTTTGCTGAAAATCATCTATACTAGTTGTATTCCTATACTTATTTAATCCCACATACTGATCATGACATTGCTTTAACCAGAAGTTGTAAAATACATGAATTCCTAAGCATTATGATTATCTAATGACTTACATAATATCCACCAGCACTGACTGTGACACCTACAAGTAGATAATAAATCATATTTGATCCAGATGATCCAGGGAATTTGTTAGATGACATCCGGCGAAGAGATGCTAGAAAAACAAGTTTAAATGCAGTTAGCTTCACCGGTTACGCAAAACTATTTTAAATAATTACATCTTTAAAAAAATTTCCCTTCAGTGAACCTAGACTCAATTAACATCAAATGATTTTAGCTTAAGGGAATACAGCATTACAAGGCAGTAATAATTCCACTTGACATTTTCCCAATAAATTTGATAAGTACTTAGGAAATCTGTCGTCTTAATGCTCAGCATCATGCTTTCTTGGAAGGTGTGGGTAAGGAAAAATGACAAAAGCAGTAAACAATATTAACAGAGAGGTGAAATGCTTATTAGCAAAAGAAATCTATTTATTGTATGTAATTCTCTACAGGATTCAACGGAAATCGTTTTTTTTT